CACCCGCCCAACGCGCAAACTTTTGGCCCCCACTCACGTCTTATCTTTTGCGAACATCGTCGTCAGTTGTGTTTGCTCAGCTTGTCTGAGCGCTGCCAGCCAGCCAGCAACACATTACAGCTCCTTCAGGCGTGGGCAGGGGGTGGGTGGCTATTAGCTGTTTGCTCTAGGGTTTGCCTTTCATCACACTCCGCCCTCCTGCGGTCAGAAGCCTATCAGCAGTTAGTTCGGGACCGGGGGCGGAGGGCGGCCACAGGTGCGCGATGGGAGTCTGCAGGCGTACGCAATTTTCCCGCTGCGCCCACGTGTGCTCGCGCCGTCTTTCGGCCTGACGACGCGCGCCGTTCATTTAGGCGCCGTCAGAGGGGGGAGGGGGGGCGAGGGCCTGCAAGGTGGTCCGACCTCCTACCCCTCTTACGCTTCACCGCCCAAATCGGGCTGACACGTTGATCCTGCCTTCCCCCCCTCCCCCCCACCTCCCCCACCTTCTCCTCCCGTCCATCAACGACGCGTCTTTTCGACGGTCTGGGCCGCTGTCGGGGAGTAGCCACACGAGGCCATTTTGTTCTAAGGCCCTTAAGCTCACCTCTCAACTCTCTTTACGGGTCAATTAAGTGGAGGAAATGGAGGCTGCATCGAGTTGGAACAAAAGCAACGGGTGGATGCGCATGTCAAGCGTGAAGGATCCTCCTTGTGAAAGCAGTCGTGAAACTTTATTGGTTCCAGTAAATTCTGCTGTCTGTGCTTGATTCAAACTTTAAATTATCAGGGGCATGCAGCACAGGTCGTGCCGGGAGTCCTAAATAGATCCAATTTGGTACTCTTCCGTGTCTCTCGCATGTGTTTGAGGATCTACACAGAGTTCGATGTTTCCACGTCTTTAAGAAGGAAGGGCAAAGGAGGGGTGCAAAAACTATCCAAGCGGTTTGGCCATGCAGTCTACGACACCTAGTGAAGGTCGTCATTAACACGCAGGCACAGAATTAATCAGACAGCATATTCAGCAAAAGCGCGACGTGGAATGTCCGCGGATTTGTAGTCTATAACTAAATTATAAAATGGCCCTTCGTCTCCCTTGCTGCGAATACGCACACAACATGGTCGCGGTGGAGACAGGCGCCTGGGGTAACCTTCCCGACATCAGGTTCATTCTCCTGCCCGTTACGACCATTTTACGGACAACTGTGACCGGCCAGTCCTTTCCCGAGA